TCAAATGCCCAATGAATGAGTCGACCAGGGCATTGATCTGTGGCAAAGGATGATTGTCTTTTGGACATTGCATTTAAGTTGGTGAAATTCACTCACATCCCTCATTTATTGTTTTCCTTGTTAATCATCACCACATTTGCCAACCAGTCAGGACGGATGAAGTTAACGTCCATAAATTTCAGAATTTCCTGTCTAATACGCTTTAGCTAGGGTGGTAGCCACGGCTCTCATCTTCTGCTTGATGGGTCTGACCCCGGGTATTTCGTCCACCGTCCAAGTGAATACATCGTGATGATTCCATAAGTTTGAGACAATTGTTCTATGTTCTTTGCTCATATTTGAACTAATTTGAAATGTTTTTTTCTTGTTTTTTTCCTCTGAGACAAACATTTGCTTCGTTGTCTCAGTAGCTTCCAGGTTGATCCCTCTATTCGCATTGAGTTGAAGGAGATATTCTCATACATTTCCTAAAGCCCGCAAATAACATGTTTGAGATTGGACTAGGTCTCCTCAAATGATTATATTTTTTCCTTTCCAATGAAATTTAATAGCTGCGTGGTAAGTGGAAGTCACTGCCTTGAATGCATTGAGTACAAGCTTGTCGAAATGACATTGTAAGTGGTTGAAACATCCACCACTATGAAATCTGCCATAGCTGTATATAGTTTATCCCCTCCCCAAGTTACTGTTAGGGAGATGAATCCACAAGTTTCTTTTTCTTTTCCAAAAAATCAATAACAGAAGACCAAAAGTAGGATTCAACTGAGAATTATTCATGTTCTTCTTCTCAAAAACTCTTGTGAAGAGGATGTTGACAGAACTCCATGTTTCTATCAGTATGTTTCTGATTTGGTAATTGGCTTTCATTAGTGGGGGTCTCCTAAAAAATTTATCTTGGATGGCTTCGATAACTTCGCCTATCGACACTCTCAATGGAGTTACTTTTGTTGGAGAGGATTGAGATAGCTCTTGCCTTCTTTCTGATCTTTCCATAACCCTCAAATTTGTCAAAAGAACAAAATGAAAGTTGTGCGACTCCAGAAAGGAATATAGATAGAGCCAACAACAACTCATCTTTGTGTTTGTGGGATGGGACGGGAATGCACGCCAACCCCGGATCCTGTTTTCTTACGAAAAATTGCAGTCGATTCTTTTTACAGAACTCTCGCGAGACGAAAGCAATGTTCATCGGTTCCATGTGATATCGGTGCGATAGAAGATCTTGAATCATGCTTTCCAAGGCGCGTAGCGTTTTCATTTCTATTCTCACAAAAGATCATATGCTAGTTCTAGTTCGAAAATTCAAAATGAAATCAGAGGACTTCTTTATTTTCTCTTTTCAGCACGAATTTCTTACTCCCCTGTATTCCCCTTGCTAGCTATTGATGGCAGTTTATCGGCGGCATGGTCCCTAAAGGTATGCCTCTTGGGCCCTAAACATGTGATTAGCGCCTCACTCAAGTCCCTCCTTGCGAAAACTTGTCAAGCGCCCCAAGCTTAAACTTCAGAGCCGAGCGAGCCTCGGAGGTTAGAGCTTAGTTGGAGCCAACGGCGGGGAGGGAGGTGCCGCACCTGAACTTCAGAGCCGAGCGAGCCTTGGAGGTTAGAGCTTAGTTGGAGCCAACGGCGGGAAGGTAGCTGCAGCATCAAAGATATCGAGTCCTTTCCGTTGCCCGGGATCCGCCCAGCCTGTTTGGGCTTGTGACTTTCCCTTCCTTTAATACCCCTTAGTCACTGACCTCTTAGAAGAAGAATATCTGACTGGGGTCTTTTTCGGTAGAGTCAACTACCTATCAGAGTCCTGAGACACACACTGACACTAGCTAGAAGACTCCTTGGGAACTTCCCTCTTCTTGTTGCTACTCTTGCGTATGCCCTAAGTGGGTGTGACAGGTCTTTTTTTTGTCAAAAACTCTGCTAACGACCTAACCAAACCTTGCCAAGCCTATCTCCGTCTTCTTCTCACTTTCTTCCCTTCCCTTACCTCTATCTCTCTCCTAGTCTACTCACTGTAATGCTTTGTTAGGTCTCTTTCTCTCATATCAAAAGTCTTGATTCGCTAGAAGTAGTTGTGTTTCAAGAGTTTGATCTCCACAAAGATCAAAGAACTCTTGAATCTTTCACCTCTAGAATAAAGAAGAATAAAGAAAGATCGTGCAGCTCTAATTGTTGTCGTAAAAAATTCCTTAGGAGAACATTTGGTGATCTCTGCAAATGAATTTGTTCCTCAAATCGCCTTGTTCATGAAAGGGGGTGTTCTCTTTGATTTATCCTCCAGCTCCCTGGTTACACGAGGACTCTACAAGTTGTATTCTTCGATCGAAATATGTTTATTGGCCAGCTCCAAAAATTAAGCAAAGGTTTCGTCTTTTGCAAGCCAAGTGCATATATGAATGGGCCCTTACATAAGCTCTAGGCCAACGTTGTGCGAGCGATGACGGGATCAATATCTCTAACGCCCGACATCGCTCGATGGAATCAAGTGATAAAACTTCACAGGCTTTCAGAAGGTGCCTCTCGAATCTTCAAAAAAAGCTTGAGAACTTTTTTGTGATGTTAGGGCACTGGCGAACTGAGCCATGCATATTTGTTTGAATTCATCAGAAGAGATAATAACTCCTATCATCAAGTTACTTAACCAGTGCAGAGCTGATTCCTTCAGGGTGATGATAAAAAAAATGGTATTTAAGGGTGTCGTTAATTCATAATAAACATGCTGACAATTCAAAATAAACAGCCTGATTGGCGGAATTCATTTTCCCTTTATAATAATCCAATGACGGGATTTTAAACTTTCTGGGAGCTTCAGGTTTGACAATCTTTCTCGAAAATATGTTCTCCAATGGCATTTGGCTTCTTCTCCCTCTTATTTTCTCATCATCTGAGGATTATGAGGCATCCTCTTTCGGGAAATAATTCATTTTCTTCTACTAGCATCGTAGTCGAAGCTCTCCTTGGCCCTATTTTCAGCAATCCTTCTCTTCGCGACTAGTGTTTTTGGGATTCTCACCTTCGTATTATTGATCATGATGATCCCACGTGGCTTCTAGGATGATCTCTGTAATGGCTCCTTGAGGTCTCATGCTTTATTTCTTCCATCACCATCTTCACTTGTTCTCTTCACTTGTTCATTTGTTGTAACACAAATTCTCTGGTGCAATCAATTGCTTCTCTTCGTTCTCTATCACGTCAAAGATTTATTTGTTGGATTAGAGTATGAATTCAACACTCACTGCACATTTTAAGATGTTGAATCTTCTTAGGATGTAGGGTCTCATATAGTTCGTAAATTCATACAATATAGAAGAGACCTTATGAGATGAGCGGAGAAGGTAGAAAGGAATAGAGTTTCAGCTTGTGTGTATTACTCCTAATGCCTCCTCTTTTCCCTTGCCCTCTTAAGGGAGTAAGGACCCTCCTATTTCTATGCCTCATAGGTTGTGCTTATCCTCATAGATAATGCTATATTATAGGCCACAATGTACGAAACCTATCTAAGATTTGTTTTTGAAAAGATATCATTATGAGTGTTAGGCAGCTCATAAATGAGCATAGACAGTGATGGGTTAGTTTCCCTTTTTTTAGCATTCAGGTAAACTTGAAGGATCAGTAAATGAACTCGACGGTCAAGTTTGACAAATGCAAGCGAGCTTATCAAAGGAGCTCGATAAGTACAGGCGAGCTCGGCAGAAGAGCTCATCGAGTACTCTTGAGAAGTAATTCTTGTAGCTATTACTTCGATGGATGTGGTTCGAGAGTACGATTTGTCAGCTATATGCTCTAGGTGCATGATAATATTTACATTCCAAAAAAGGCCCAATCTCATAGGCCCAAAAGGCCCATTTACATGCAAGCTTCATTGGTAGCTTAGGAAAACTTAGGATGTACACTGTTATTTTGCTACAGTGATAAGCTGATGACAAGGTGAAGAAAAAGAGAGAATTTTAGGAGAGAATTTTTTTTCATTGATTTCTACAAATTTCTAGCCTAAAAATAGACAATTACAACAAAGATTATTCTATGTGCTTCCCAAACAAACTCCATAAAGAAAATGAACCCCCAATCTACAAATAATCAATTAGATAAGCTCAAAACTAAGCAATAATTCTTACCAAATTTTATCCTAATTTGAATTTAAATTCAATTGCAAACTTATCTAAAACTTAGCTTAAATTTCAAAACTCAGCCTTAATACATTGTAATTTCAAAGTTTGATCCGATAGTCCAGCTTCCAAATCCTTGAGCTCCATTATCTAATGTATGACTGAATCTAATTGTGCATATGGATTCCTGGTGGCATTTTCTTCGATCAAAATGGTGTAGTCAGAGAAGCAGTACAATCGACAATTGCAAAGAAAAAAGCGGGCCATTAAAAATTCAACGAATATAATCTCTTTAATCTTTAGATGATATAATACATATATTATGAGTAAGTTCATCTTGTTTAGATCATTTATATCTCTTATTCCCTTAATGATTTGATTCCCTTATACAAATTGATATATGTGAAAATCATAAAATTATGGGATCAATTCAACTCCATGCTAGCTGCAAAGTTACATAAATTTGGCCGATGAAAGGACAGAAACTAGCAAGGCATAAGAAGTACTACTGAGGTTGAAGGTCACATAATGTTACAGATGTAGAACATCAAATGATATGTAGCACATCAAATAATAGATCAAGAATAACGATCAAAAGCAAATCATGATCTAGCTTACAGCAGCACTTCTTCAATTTTAAAGCTACAAAATTCTAAGCGCTGTTTTTTTATTTTTCAGATTTATCAGAAAATGTACACAAATACATTCAGTAATCCATTGTCAAAATTCCGAAAGCATAACATAAAAGGAATAGCTATTAAAGTATGAACACAAACACCAAAAAAAAATAACAAGTTTTGATATATAGAAGTTAACGACATCCTTTTTCTATTTAGTCCGGAAAGAACGAAGTTCAACAGGAGTATAACAAGAAATAAGGGCCATAGAGAAGTTTACCGCATCTAGTGCCCAAAGAAGCATTTAGCTGAGATGTGAGCTATCACACCGGTAAAGTTGGGCATCCAAACAATTGAAACTTGCCAATCTACCACAGTTTCCAGATCGAATAACCATATCTTCACCAACCTAGGAAGTCAGGACATGAGTGAGTTATAAAACAATGGCAGGTAAATTGGTTTGGTATGTAAGGCAAAAAAGGGGGTGGAGAGGCCCAGCAGGCAATATTCTAGTTCCCATTTCCAAGTTACACGCTTAAGCCTACAGCCAAAAATGAATCAGCCATAGCTGGAGATGAGCTTTATCCCTAGCATGCCTAAGCTTTTTGGGATAAACTAAAGGTTCATTTAGTGTAGCTGCATTTCTTTATAAAGAAGTTCATAAAATTGTCAGAAAAAATAATATTTTAAAAAATTATTGTGAGTATTATAACTATAATAGCAGCTTCCATATAGCAGCCACATTTTAGTAGACCAACTTCTCAAAAGCAAAATTCTACTATAAAAATTTATCCAAGGCAAAAAAAAGCAGTAGCCAAACAATCAGTGTGATAGCCATTTGAAATATAAAGCAATGAGAAAGCTACCTCAAACAAACTCTTTTAAGCATGATTTAACTAAAACATAGAAATAAACAAAATAAAATTAATGGTTAATCTTTTATACAGATTAATATTAATCGAGGATTGAATAAAACACATAAAATTGTTTCATTATTGAGTTTTGATTAAATAATTAATTAATTATTTATTTATTTTATTACTCTTAAAAAAATCATTAGAATCGATAAAATTTCTAATTAAGATAAGTTTTATATCTAAACAAGGGAAAATTAATTAATCACTTAATTATCATGATAAAAATAAAAATATTATTACTTATCATTAATTAACTATGATTAATAAGATTTTAAATTAAGATAATTCTATAATATTTTAAAGAATTTATGATGATTTTAAATAGTTGAGATTAATAAAAAAATTTATTATTGTTAATTCGTTGATTTTTATAAATTATAACATTATTTATATTAACGATGTAAGTTTCAGTCAAAATATATTGAAATAATTTTTTCAACTTATGTTAACTTATAGCATCTTATCTTTTTTATTACTCAAATGATTTAACCCGGCTTAAACAATTAAACGTCTATGATAACCTAAGAATCAAGAATAAAAAAATGTTTTTGTCAATCATGAAAAAACAAAGAAATTGTGGATAAATGGTTACACTTCTTTGATTGACTTAATAGATTAAACTGGACCAAGGAAAATTTTAAGCCCCAACAATAAATTTGTCTTCTAAGTGTTGATGGGCATGAGGAGAACAAAAAAGATGAAATCCATGATTATCCCAAGACTCGGCAAAATAATTTTGCAGTCGACCAATTAAATCCTTTGGAAATAAAGCAGAGATAACTTCGTAATCTCCCTCGCCAGCTTAAATTTAATTCACCTAAACCTACTTTAAAATAATTTTAGAAAAGTTTACAATGGCGCAAACAATGATTTATGCTCTAATAGCAATGAGCTTAATATGATTAATTCTTGCCATACCTAATGCAAGTGCCTTGAAAATCATCGCCTGATAAGTAAATTGATCCAAAATATTAGACAGAACAAGTTTTCAATAAAAACTGACATAAGTTCATAAGTCGACCAGGTTTACAACTGAAATTCAAAAAAGCTGAGAACATGAGAATTCTCCTGTAAGATCCAAAAATTCTCTCATTTCTCCTCCCGCTACCAAGCCGCGCGACCCAACTTTCCCTATTAATCGCGTGAATCGCTCGATCGCACAAATCTGGAGATTAAGCTCGTTGTCGCCCTCCTGATCGGAACTCCCGCGATCTTTCATTTGTTTCCTTTCTTCCCGCCAGTTTCTCTTCAATTGTTGCCTTCCCGATTTGTTCGGTTGCACCGCATCTCTGTTATATAAGGAGACAGTAAGCTACGCATCGGACAACTCGAATCCTCCTGTCACTACCGAGCCTCCCTTCACAGGCGCCAAAAACTTCTCTTCTCTCTGCCCCATTGTTTCTTCAAACCAGTAGCTATCTATCCTTTTTAATCATTTATAGTAGCTGAGGCATGAAGTAAGCTCTCCCCTCGTTGCTTTTATTTCTTCTTCTTTCAATATTGTTGTTATAAAATGTTAAATCAATTATGTTTATTATATTTATGCACAATAAAGTACTCTTGACCAGATTTTCTGCAAATCGAACTGTTCCGAGCGGAGCATGCGACACCTGACAGAGCTCTACGAAAATAAACAAAGATGCCTGGAAGACGACTGAGTGATGGTAGTCAACCGATCGGAAATTGATTGAGTGGCCGACCAAGGGCCAACCGACCCAGAAGCTGATCGAGCCAGAGGTTGATCGACTCAAAAACCGTTCAAGTAGAGGTTGACCGGCAAAAGGACGATCTGCCGAATATTCATCAATTGCACAACATGGAGCAGATTGATTTGGGATTGATAGATTAAAAAGGAGGCATGGATGTAATTATCGTTTCAAACTAATCGTAGGCCTCTATAAATAGAGGAGCATTAAAAGTAATAGAAGTTGTTGATACAACATACAAAATATTTCATCCCTTCTCACACTCCATTCATTGGGTGTGATTCACAGACAAATCAAGATTTAACATCCTAAAATGTGCAGTGAATGTGGATCTTGTCGCAAACAAGTAGAGTGACCCAAGGAGAAGAAACCCAATATCGAGAAACCACAAACATGAACTATACCCGAGAGTTTGTGGCCCAACAAATCGATGAGCTCAAAGAATAAATGGACGCAAAAAGGTATGCACTGACTCAGAAAAGAGTGCAACTACCACAAAGAGTAACATCCCACCACCAGCAAAGAGGGACTGCACTAAACACCAAATGAATTTTACCAGCCCTAGAAGGAGAGCAGGATACACACTATCCCGACAACGTCGGGTCAGCACCACTTGACTATTGCAGATACAAGCATATTGAAGAATTGCAACCTGTGCAGCCAGAGATCACTTTCTCCAGGTAAATTTTGGAAGTCGAACGCCCCGAGCGTTTCAAGATCCCAACTTTAGAGTCATATTGAAGACGATCGAATCTGGCCAATCATATTGCCTCTTTCAAGTCGGTTGTATGCCTACTCAGGATAAATGACGCGCATAAATGCTGCGATGGCACACCAAGGAACCCTTGAGCTCAATACCCAGCAAGGAAATGGCTTCGAGATCAATGAGACCATTAAAGAAATACCCGTTGTGGGTTGACCTCACATATGATGAGGTCTCTCCTCTCTCTTCTCTTACCCCTTTAGAACCTAGGATTTAGCCTTAAGGTTTCCTTAGAGGCCACCCTAGAGGATTAGAGAAAGGTTCATACCTAAGTTAGAATCTAAATCAAATTTTAATTCCATTTCGTTTGAAAAATACTTGATTTTAATCCTTAGCACTTAGTTTAGTGTTGGGTTGATTTTAACCAAGTTATTAAAACTAAAGGTTGAGTCTCCTGCAAAGTTATGTATATGATTTTAAGTGACCCATTGAACCTAATGACATGAGTCCATGACATAGATACCTTTTTAACGCTCGTTCTATCCCATGGACTAGAATGATTAGGGCTTTTTCTTTTGCCTAGTCAGCCTAGGAGAGAACCCTATGGGTCTCATCTAATTACTTTGGACTTCTTTCTTTTAACTCGTTTTCTGGTTTAAAGGTGAGCACATTTGATTTGGTGTTCAAATTTAAACCATAAATTGAGCTAAATTTAAAATTTTAATGAATTTATACAAAATTTAAATCAAATACAGCTTAAATTCAACTCAAATTCAATTCAAACTTAAATTATCAAATTCAAATTAAACATACCCAAAATCACACACCTAAAGCAAATACAAATATGATACGCCTACTATACGACCATTCCATGCACGAACACTATGGATCCAACCGACCAGCCCACCACAGCCCTCCACATGTTGATCGGTTCAGCGGGAGTGGGCAGAAAGTTTTGATGCAGCAATATAGGATTCCAGCCCCCAGGTGGACCCGCTAAGGCTCTAATCATGTACACAAGGAGAAGTAAATTAAGGGGATTTTGGGAGGAAAGTTTGAGTGATTTTTTGGGGGTTATATTAAAGTTAATAACATAGGGTTTGGGTATATTTGATTGGCTACAAATTTTCCTTTGTCTTTGTGTTCCTAGAGACATATAGAGTTTGTTGAAAGACGATCTACCTCTCAAACTATAAATCACCAATTATATCTTGTTTGTTTACTTTGATATTAATCAAATTAGTCCTATCTTGAATTTTCTCACATATATATTGCAATCTGCTCATTGATTATGACTCCAGTTCCTATCAAAATACATCTCAACTTTTACCCATATAAAAAAACTTAATCTCAAATTTAAATCCCATATCCAAAATCAATTATAAAGTCAAACTTATACTAAATTAAACTTCAAATTCAATATAAAAAAATCAAACTAAAATGTAAATCAAACTCACATGTAAACTTAATCCAAATGCACATAAATCTTATGTCAAATCCAAATTCAACGAACAATGTGCACCCAAATTCAACGCTAAACCTATTCCTAAAGCAACTTTAAATCAACACCCAACCTAACAAAATTCAAACTTATGTCCAAATCAAATTCACCACAATTCAACACCATACAGCTCCATCTTGTTGATTCAAATGTTTAGTGAAACCTGTACTCAACCCTAAACTAAATCAACACTTAATGTGCTTCCATTGTACACCTAATATAACACTAAATTCAATCCTAAGTCAACTTAATATAAATGACAAATCTAATCTTCATCTAAAACCTATACTAAACAACACCCAAATCTCATACCAAATTTTCCCTAACTTAACAATCAAAACTTCTTAATTTAACCAATAACCTGCTCCTAAATCAGCCACTAAATCAACATAAAAGTTAACCCAAATTCAGTCCTAATCGAGAGTTTTCTTTAAAAATTTTGTCTCATAAGATGTAATTAATTGTAGGGGCTTGCTCTTAAGAATTTTGTAACCCAAACTAATCTAAACCCTATTTAGCTTCAGAGTTCGTTAAGGGAAATATTTGTTGGTTTAAAATGCAAACTCAACAAATATTACGTAAAATCATTTAAGTAATTGAATCTGTCGTAAAATGGTATTTCTATCTTTTGAGATAGTATATTACTTTGGATGACTTATTTGATTATTCAAATAAATTAAAATATTTAAAATTTATGTGGTGCACACAATAAATTAACATAAAGCTAACGAGGTAGATAAATTTTTCCAACTAAGCAAAGCTTTTGATGCAGGTCATAGGGACAAACTTATCAGTTATTCCGAGAGCACCGTGATGTGTTCCGCTGGTCATCCATAGAAATATCAAGAATACCAATCAAAGTCACTTGTAACCGGCTAAACGTCAACCCAATAACCTAACCGGTGAAACAAAAGATGAGATTGACGGTGAATACGTTAGCAAAATCGATACACGAGGAAGCACATAAGCTGCTGGAGGTCGGCTATATATGTGAAGTGCAACAACCACATTGTGTCGCCATTGTAGTAATGGTCCAAAAGACAAATGGCAAGTGACAGAGGTGCATCGAATTTACAAGTCTGAATGCAGCTTGCCAAAAAGATAGCTACCCTATGCAGAGAATTGATGCGTGATACACCTCGAAATCAAAATCAACAAACCACGATGAAAGGACAATAGATAGGTGGAAAAAACACAACCAAGGGCTGTCTTACAAAAGATCAAAGAAAACAAGCAAAATACAAGGTTGGTCTACTATTTAAGACTCTAGACATCTCTAGGAACACCACAAAAAGAAAGAAACAACAGCCACTCAAAATATGCATAAAAGAAAACAAACCCTAGGTTTTCTCCCTTAAGGAATCCACGCCACAGACTTTTGAAAACTTTCCTTTTCCACTTTTCCTCTAAATCTGTTTTAATTTCTCCTCTTTGAGTATGTAATTAAGCTATTCGTAGACCCCAAACTCTCCCTACCTTCTTCTCCTGCGGCAAAATGCCGCTCCACCTCTTCGCTCAAACGAGATCGGCCCATCTGTGGGTTTGGTGTGTCTGTGGGAGGGCATTTGATCGGTCCCTCCTGGACCGATCCCGTGATGGGCGAAACATTACTCCCCTCCCAAAGAAGTACCTTGTTCTCAAGGGGAAAGGAACTACAAATACCTAAAACCGTTAATATCTCTAACATCGTTGGCTCTTACAGAAGAGCTCTTTGTGATAACGAAGAAACCCAGGTGCTAGGTTGAAGATTCCGGCCTTCAAGTAGGCCAGGTATTGCAATGACATGTTGAACGGATGAACCTTCAATCACGGTGACCGATTCAACATTTTTTGGGTCCATCCCAAAGGAGCCCGCCTAACCTAAAGATGAGACTATCCTTCTCTTCATCACCACCTTCCTCTTTTGCTCGCCCTCACGACGTTTTATGCCTCTCTTCCGAGAGCAAATCTCGAATCAAGATCTCATTAAGAATATCAGTTTCAGACTTCGTAACCTTATCCATTGCGAGTTCTCACGAGGGAGAGAAGCAACCAACGAAGAAAAGGGAGATCGACAGTTCGTGCATGGCAGCAAAGGATAGCACGAGATAGGCAAGCAGAGAGAAACACCAGCGTCCTACTTATAACAATCACTAGCATGAAAATTAAGGAAATATTAATCATTGTTGTCATTTAATGATAGCTAACAATTTATTGTATTTAATTCTCTCATTCTTTTTGTAGCATAACTTACTAATATACAAGACAATCATGGAACTAAAATATGTCCAATAAAAATACCCTTGACCAGATCTTCTGCGGATCGAACAGCTCTGAGTGGAGCACGCATCACCTGACAGAGCTCTATGAGAATAAACAAAGATACCTAGAGGACCACTGAGCAATAGTATTCAACTGGTCAGGGACTAATCAAGTGGTCAACCAAGAGCTAAGTGACCAAGAGGTAGGCCAAACCGGAGGTTGATCAACTTGGAGATCACTCAGATAGAGGCCGACCGACAAGAGGACAATACGTCAGACATTCATCAACTGCACGACATGAAGCTAATTGATTGAGAGTCAACCGATTAAAGAGAGTCATGGGTGTAATTGTCATTTCACGCTAATTTTAGCCTTCTATAAGTAGAGGAGCATTAAATGAAATAGAGGTTATTAATACCATATACAAAAACATCACATTACTTTCTCATCTCTCTCAATATATTTCTCTCTCCTCACTCCATACCTTAGGTGTGATTTGCAAACAAATCGAGATTCAACAATTTACTTGGCAACTTTTCCTAGGCTAGAATAAGGTTGATTTCAAATCAATTTGTATTCTTATGTTAGTAATAATATTGTTATTAATATTAGTAAATGTTAGTAAAGTTGCACTTAACTTAATAAATATTTTGTTTTAATTCATACAATTGCATGATTATTAATAGCTGGGGATTTTGATTTGTATAAAACTTGTGAGTCAGCATTGGTCAAACCACTAAAATAGCTAGAGTTTTATTGTTTTTCTTGAGGTATGCGACTGTTCTTTATTATGCAATAAGCATATATTTCATATTTATGAACTTTATTCTTATTGTTTATATTAGATTCATAATTACCATATAAGATTGTTAATGTCATTGTTACTTCATTTATATATCTATTTGTGTTTATTATAAGATTCATTTATTGCTCATAATAAAGTAATTGGCTGTCTTATTTTATCGTTGCTCAACTCTATATATATTTGATTAAATCTTGCAATTATCATATTTTCTTTTACAGCACTTCATGTTTATGAATCGCATGTAGCTCTTTTTCATATCACAACCTTATGTGAAGTAGCATATTGCTTACACATTTAATTGTGAAAACTGACATAATTATGTAGCTTGTATGAATAATAAGTAGGTCGATGGAAGCCTTTTGGATATTGGATAGCTGGGTTAACAAACCGAAAGAGTGACGCCTCTACAAGAAATTATTAGGTTTTCTTGGATTAGTGTTTACTTTCCTATTTTTAGGGTGTGTGATAAAACTAACTATATAAATATAAAATTAAACTAAAATTAAATGATGGATGATTGTTAAATCATACGCTGGTAATTATTATTGATTACATATTTCTATTAAATAGAATGAGTATGCTCATATTATGTTGATTTTAAATTATGCATCACTTATGTATATATATATATATATTATATATATATATATATATATGATAATTTATTCTTTTTTATTATGCATACTGCACATTCCATTTTATTGTCATTTATGCTTTGATAAATAGTAGTTATTTATTGTATTTGAATTATTAAACTGAATCATTGGTATTTTTGCATAGTAGGTTTCACAAAACCAATTGGAGGGTTGTCTTCACATGAGTAGACTCTCCAATTCTAAATTTATTTTTGGTATTTTTCACTATTTGCACTAGTTATTCTTTTTTTTTCCTTTTTGAGTTTGGGTATTTAGTTCTCTATCGTCATTTTTATTTTGTTTCAATCAGTATTTTATGTTTATTTTGTGTATCAATTGTTGATTCTTATCTATAAATTGAAATAAAATGTATATTTTCTTGCATATTTTAGTTATTACTTGTGTATAATATTTTCTTTTATGAATACAAAACATATTTAAATCTTTTCACCACGTCTTATGTTGCGGTGTGTACCGCCTTCCCAACAGGGAATGTGACATTTCCAGCATTCAATGAATGATTAATAAAAGGATTAGGTTTTGAAAAAATTAAAACATTGTGAAAATGATTAGTGTTTGGATAAAAAACAATATATACTTAATTGGTGCACAATGACAAATCAGGAAAAAATGATTAGTTCATAAACAATTAGGATTCTTACCTGATAGCAATTTTTCATAATGAAGTAGACCTACCCACATATTAATCGCATACTCCAATGTAATAGAGTGCTGTATCAGCTCTTATTTACCAACTTGTCATCAAAATAGAATTTGAATTATTCCCACTAAAAAAATCAAAATGCATTAAAAATGCTATACAAGATTGCTTTAAAACTACATAAATAGATCGGATCCTGGACAGGCATGAACTTATTTGAAAGTAAAAAAAGGATTCAATCAAAATAAACTATCTGGTATATAGCTAGTTCAGCCAGTCCATCTGAACATAGCTCACAGCCCAAGAAGTGACAATTTAACTAAAACGAAGAGATCCGGGAACAAAAGGAAAATTTATCTGAAAATAAGACGAAAACCTGTCATTAGAGACGGCATGGATCCTGCAAATGCTAAGGCAAGGACGGGGAAGGAAGTGTCTTCTCTCGTTCCTCTTTGCGCTCTCTGAAAGATTTTTCGATACAATGTGGAAAGCTAAAAGAATCGAAGATTGGAACGAAACCGTAGCCTAGCCAGCCACCAAACACATAGGGCTGGTTCTCAATTCGCTGTCCAGACTTTGCTTTTCATTCTTTCCATTGTAGAGCTAGCTGTACAAACAATCAGCGAATCCCGATCACCTTGAGCGGGACGCGGTGATGGGAAGAAGAGAAGGGATGGGCATGCGTTGCGCTCTACCGATCGATCTGACCAGACGAATAATAACTGCTCTTTTATTTCAGAGTTTTGCATGAAAAATAACTGGCACAGAGCAACCTACTTATTCATTAACGGAGAAAATATTGGATTGCGGCGTTATTATTTATTACGTGTTATTAGATGTTATTATATATTATTTAATTTTTATGATGTGTTATTGTGTTATTATAATATCGGAAATATTCGTATAACACAATAACACCTGAATAACATACAATATCACTGGAATAACACAAAATAATACGGGAGAATATTTTCTTGTGTTATCGGATCGAATTTTTTAATGTTATCTTCATGTGTCATAATTTCATTAGACTCCGCAATTCCGCACGTAACTTTACATGCGGAATCCTGATGCAATATTTTTTCTTTTCGAGACACGGGATAAATGCTAGAGAAAAGAAAAAACTACTTATTATTTTGAGAAAAATATAAATATAATTAAAATATTAGATTTATTTTGAGATAAATATAAATATATAATTAGAATTTTAAGAGAATTACGTACATATCACTTATTTATTTTTTATGTACATATCTAATATTTAACTTTAGTTTTCACATTTATACCATCTTAACTAAAATATGTATTTTAGGTATTTAAAAATGGCATTTACATACATACCACTTAATTCTTATGTTTTTACAAATCTAACACCTAAATACTCATATTTACATGCATAGAACTCAAATTCTTAACTTCACATCAAAAATACCATCTTTAGTCTCTTTTCATATATAAGTTTATGACATGATATGTTAGATATGTAAATATAAAATTTTAGGTGTAAGATATGTGAATAGATAAGAATAGTGTGGTATGTATGTAAATTTCTCTTTTAAATATTAAAAAAATGTTATATATATATGTAATATAAAAGATTTGATAAAAGTATTGGTGGAAGATAAATAAGATGATAAGAATTTACAGTATGTTTATTTAATTATAATGTGAGATAAATACATGCCACTCAATTTTTATGTATTTACACATCGAACATCTAAAATATATTTTTCATGTATATGCCACTTTACCAGTACATGAAAATGTGTCTCTCTTTTTAAAGTTTAAAATAATGATATTTTTTATGTGATGCAAAAGATTTGGATGGTATAAATGTAATATGTGCTTGGTAAAATCCAGTTTATATAGTCATTTGATACACAAAAAAATATACATTTTTAGAGCCATATTTTATACTTATTTTTGGTGATATTGCACCTCTTTTGGTGATATTGCACCTCTTTTTGGTGATATTGCACCTCAATGGAAGGTATTTTTTGTGTTTTATTACAGGTTGTTGATTTTTAGGACTTGAAGCAAAAAAAAAGCAAAAATGATGAAATTTGGAATCATAATGGAGATTAGACTAGGCGCCGACGAAGTCAGACTAAGCGCCGACGGTGTCATTGTCGATGCAGACCCTGTTTCTAGAAGATTCGATCAATTTGGGCGCTTTTTGAAAAGTTTTTAGATGCAACTTTTAGGGAACCAACCCTAGGCTCTATTTAGAGCCGAAATTTGATCAGAAACCCCCCTGACACCATTTTACATTCTTCCACTCAATCAGTTTTCCTCTTCGCACGCCTACATTCCACGCCATTCCACATCATTAGTTAGTTATTGTTTTTATAGTTTTGAGTTTTTTTTGTGAGTTTAAGTGTAAATTCTTCTCTAAGAAGTATTAGGGAGGAAGAGATGTGAGAGATTTCTTCTTCCTACATTTCCTAAGAAATGCTACGAAAAATTGCTTTGAGAAAGAGTTTCAGATAAGTGTTGTTTGTTTATTTGTAAGTTATTGAATTTTATGACTTGAAATTTTGTTGTATCTTTCTTATGAAGTCTGAGTATATTACTTTATCTTTTTCTCTACTCTGAGATGTGGTGAAATGAAGAGATAA